CGGGAGCCGGTCTCTATATGGGATCCGAACCCTTGGCGGGAGCGCCGCCGTGCTCCCAAGCACCGCACTCTACCAAGTGCACCACCGAGCCGGCCCTAAAACATGCTTTCTAAATAAAATGTCAAACTAAGACAAACTTAATTTATTCCATTCATTTTGTAAGTTCCCTTTATATTTGTGTATTTTATTTGTATTGTAATGACTTGATAATTATTTACATGACCCATTGTTCTGAATTCAGTTCAGAGTAGAACAAAAGACAACAGTCACAGATAGGTTTTGTTTCTTAAAAAAAAAATACTTAAAGCATGTATTACATTTTCTAAGTTTACAGGGAAATAAGAACAAAATGATAACCAGTTTCTTCAGAGATACACAATTTATTTCCCTAAGAAATTTTATTTTAGTTTTTCTCTCAATTTTAAGACAGAGAGCTGGTTCATACGGCCCATAAATCAAAAAGTGTAAAATGTTTTACAGTAAAAAAACTTCCCTCCCATCAATGTCTGCCAGAAACCTAGTTTCCTTCCCCAAAGAGTGTTATTAATTCTAGTTTAGTCTTCCAGAGATATTTTATGCATATATAAAAACTTTTCCCTATTCTTTTTTCCACAAAAGTTTACATGCTAAACATAACATTCCGTACTTGTTTTTTTAAAGAAACAGTAGTCTTTTGATATCTTTCTAAGAAAAAAGTATCCTTATACATGTTTTATAACTGTATATTAGCTTCTTTTTTCCACAAAAGTTTACATGCTAAACATAACATTCCGTACTTGTTTTTTTAAAGAAACAGCAGTCTTTTGATATCTTTCTAAGAAAAAAGTATCCTTATACATGTTTTATAACTGTATATTAGAATTCTATTACATAGATATATCAAAACATAGTCTTCTATTAATAAATAGTTAACTTGTTTCCACTATTTTGTTATTACAGACAATGCTGGAATAAATAAGCTTACACGTGTCATTTTGTATGTGTACACTTATATCCACAGGATAACTTCCCAGAAATTGAACTGTATCACAAGATATATACATTTAACATTTTGATAGATATTAGAAAATTTCTCTCCATATGAGTAACAAAAGTTACATTCCCATACAGCAATGTATGAGAATTCCCTTTTTTCCCTACAACTTTACCAGCAGAATGTAATTAAATTTTTACATCTTTGTCTATATGACAGAAGAAAAATAGTATCTTGGTACAGTTTTAATTAAAACATTTCCTTATTAGTTATGCAGTAGCATATAAGGATAATCTTCAATTAAACCATGGAATGAATTCCATTTCTGCAATTCGATGGCTACTCTAATTTAGTACCTACATCTCAAATTTAAATGTCGAGTTCAAAAATAGAATGAATTTTCCTTGTTTTTTTTTTTGTTGTTGTTGTTATTGTTGGTAGAAATGGGAGCCTGTATCTCCCATGAGTGTCAACTGCAGAGGCATCTCACCAACAACAGTTGAGAATAACTACTTTATTTTCAGAGTCAAGTAGCAGAAAAGGGTTTAACATATTATTTGGCTAATTCTCTTGCCTCCTGCTGAATGGACCACTGTTATTTGGCCCATCCTTCTAACCTGATAGATTCTAATTAGGATTCTAAGAATTTCCTAAACAGATGATGTCACATCTGTGCCACAGAGACCCAGTTGTGTCCAATCAGTCTTTGGCATAAGGAAGTACTTAAATTGCATTAAAATATATTATAATTTATGTTCTATCTACAGAATTGAAAAAAAAAATGGTAACATCCTCATACATGAAAAGTATTGGTTACCTTTTAGACTTCTTTTCTCCAGACTATGTTTCCAAAATTCTTACGTAAAAATTTCATAAGAATTAATATTAAATAATATTATTTAGCTATAGAGGATAGTTACTCCACTAGCCTATAGGCTTGCTTAGTGTTTCAGAATGGAAACTGCACTTGAACCCTTCAACAGCTTACCTTGGATCTCTGTCATGGTAGAAGCTGATCTTGTATCCTCCTCTTTTGCACAGAGTGATTTACAGTCAGGGTTACGAGAAGCCATATTCAAAATTTCTGATCCAGAATCTATCAACAGGAAGAAACTAACAGCATGAATATTATGCAAAGCAAGTATTTGCCTAGGCTCTTTTAATTTGCATACACTTCAGCAGGTCACAGATCATCAGGCTTAATATTATAATACTAACACACTATTTTTACATCTTTTCCAAGTGAACTCACCACTTGAAGCTACAGTACTGTCTGTGGAGGAAGTGTGTCTGGGTGATGGTAGTGTGGAATCTTCCCTGTCAAAAGGATAAAAGAAGTATTTTTGAAGTGTCCAAATAATTCTCTTAAAAATCAACTGAATATGCATACAAATTCACACACAAAAAACAAAAAGGCAAACCTGGACGGTGGTGGGCTCTGAGAACACAAGCATTCAACACCATTCTCCTTATGGGAAAAAAAAAAAAAAAGAGAGAGAGAGAGAGAGAGATAAGTTCAACAATTTGACATTTTCCATTCCAAAGAGGTTGTTTTAAGCAAACATTTTCATACAATTTAAAATGAACCCATATTTATTCTGTTCTTCTGAAGAGAATATGGGAATGAGATGGTACAGTGCACATTGATACACACATTTCCTCAAAGACGTACTTGCAAAAAAATCCAATTTTAAGTACATTTACACATCTGATATTGAAAGAAAACCTGATAAATTCCTGGGCAAAACAAATTCTAAACTCAAAGGGCAATTGGAATTTATTTCATGAACTGAAGTTAATTTTTAAAGAGAATATTCTACATGGGCATAAAACATTTCTATTTATGGGAATATTACTCAATCTAAAACTTTTGACCTAGTGATTTAAAAGCAGTTCTCTGTTTTCTAGCTAAACAAAACATACATTTTAAACTTAATCCACATCTCAAACATCTCGGGGATTACATCTAAGTCCGCACCTATTACCTAGTGCTCAAAAAGACCTTAACAAAATTGTGGCCCCAGCCTGCCAGGACTAGTGGTTCAAAGTCTCATTTGATCCTCTTACTTTCTATCAGGAATTTCTAATGAGGGAGAACTTTAGGGTATTAGGGTTATACAGTTATCCTATTTTTAAAAAAATACAGTGCAAAAAGAGTTTCCTTCCTAATAAACTCTTCTATTAAGTTTATTTTCATACTTATCTGATTTAGTTAGGAAAATAACTTAAAACTGAAATCATTCGCACATATTGAAAACCTGCAGAATGTAAAAATGAAGACATTTAAATATTTCATTATCAAACACAGAACTTCTCAACTGCTACAACCAACAATAGGTTTCTATGAAGAGATACTGTATTTCATACACAGTATTTAGAATCTCTTCAAGAAAATACTTACCATAGTCACAGAAAGGTAAAGGTTTAGGAAGGGTTTGCTGAATTTGTAGTTACCCAGTACAATGATAGCTATTTACACCGGTTTAGCACATTAAGCTTTCTAAAATCCCTTTTTTCTGTCATCTCATTTAATTCTCCCAACAATCTTTGCAGGGGGATTTAGCAAGCAAAGATTTACTTCAGGTAAGGAAATTAAGGTCAGTGAATAAAGTATTTTCCCAAGAGCCTGCAGAATTGTGCAGCCAGCCTTCAAACCCAGATCAAACTAAATACACTGTTCTCTCCACTGTAAACAGAACTAACTCTGAGTATACCCTACCCCAGGCTATTGGAGAGAAAAAGTCTCAGCAATGATTGTCTTAGACTGGTAGATGATTTAAATATAAACTTTTAAGATGTTTACCTTAAACGTTTAGAAAAACCTACAACTGAATTTGCAAAGCCCTAATTCTCTCATATGTCATTGATGTTAGTCAGTCTTCTCTCTTATTTCATTTCTGCTTTAAATGACTTTGGGTCCCACCACATGGGCTGAAGCCCATCATGAAACCAGTTCAATTTAATTCAACAAACTTCCCCAAAGCCCATTTTGTGCCAGGAACAGTGACAAGGGCCAGAGACAGACAAAAACACAGTCCTTGTCCTGGAGGAGCCTGTAGGCCAGTCAGGGACATAAATATATAACACAAATACCTTATGATTTATAAGCAGCATTTCACAGAGGAAAGTAATGTTCTCAGAATAGAATTAACAGAGTGAGGTGATATCTGAATTAAGTTTTGAAGATAAATTGTTCTTTATAATGTGTTGGTAGTTATATGATGATGGCCCTATCTTTAAAATATTTAAATAAATTGTATTAGTAATTTTTATATGCTTATTTTACTATAGACCTATATATATGTAAGAAATGAAGCTATGAAACTGAAGAAAATTAAATATTTTTCAGTTTTACTGAGTATCATCATTAATACAAACCAATAAGAATTGATTTCTCAATAATAATTTTAAAAGCCCATTTAACATTCTGTAACATTTAAAACGTTGTTACTATGCATGGCTTGAAATAATACTTATTACTTCACTATAACTAAAAAGCTAACTTTGTCAGAAAAGTCTTCATCCTGTACCTATCAAGGTCATGGGCAATCATATTTGAGTTCAAGAAGTATGAAAAAGAATACAGCTCCTATTCCCTGTTCCATGAAACCAGTTTCTAGTATGGGGGGAAAGGGGACACAATTTCTGCAAACCTTGTTTTTTAAAAAAGTGTAGTTATTTTTCAAAATAATAAATACAGCAAAAATAGTTTACCTCCAGTATACTGAGTCTCATTTGCCATAATTCTCAGTGTAAGGTCTTCTCTTGCCTTATGCCTTATATTTGAAACATTTTAGTTAGAAGCCTTTTTATAAATATAAAATATTTATTGATTAAACAAATAACACATTTCATGCTAGTGACGGTAGTCAATGTTGTACCCCCCAAATATGTATAACTATGTTTCAATTAAAAAAACAAACAAACAACAACAACAAAACCCTACAAATAATCCTGTAATTTTGGAGAAATCACATATATTTGGTAGCCATACATGACCACGTTGTTCTGGAACAGTTGCAAGGTAAGCAATTGTGTATTATTCCCAAATCATTACTCTTTCTAAATCTCAGTGATCAGAAAACAACCCATTATACAATATATCTCAATGCTAAATTTTCACAAATTTGGTCTATCAACATTTTTTTCTTTCTTACAAGAATAACCAGAGTAAGGTGTTTTTTTTTTTTTTTTTAATTTAGTTTCAAATTTAAGATGACAGTTAATGAAAGTTGGAGATGCAGCCCCTCAGGGTGTCTGTATGTGTGCAGTTGGTGTGGCAGGTCAGTCAGCAGGAACTTTCCACAATCACACCCTTTTGTTCCAGCTTCAAATGTCACCCCTATTCAAACCAGCATCCTGGGCCCACGGAAGAACTCAACCCACACACACCAACTGGGAGACCTGGACAGATCGTGAAAAAGATCAGCTTCTAGATATATTTTAAAACCAAAGAAAATCAAGAAATTGACTGAGAGCAAGGAAAAGAAAGTTCAGAGGAGAGAATTACTTACATGTAGAAGATTGGCTCAAGCCAAGTGAATCTAAAACAGGCAGAGAGCATAGAGCAGGAAGAATGCTCTTCCTGTCCAAGCCATTCAAATATTCACCTGCATAACATTTACATGAAAATCCACAGACCAGCCCATTTGTTTCTGACAGTAAGAGTCTAATGTAGGGTGGGGTAGCCAAGGTACTCATGGAACAAAGTGAGACAGATTCACCCATGGGCTGGGTCAGCAAGCTCAGGTCACACACTCACACTCTCTCACACACACACACAGACAAACATATTATTTCAATATTTAGATAGAAAAATATGAAGAACAATAAGAAATAACTTTTAAGATATTAGTCATGGCAATTAATTGGCTTAGATAATCTCCCAGGATTACTTTATTTTTGCTCTTCTAGATGAAATCCTGCTTTAACTATAGATTTTATGATCAGAAACTCTTTACTAATAAGCATTTATGTTACCAATGTCATTTTTACTATTAAATCTATTTTAGACAACTGATGCTTGTTAAATAAGTTAATGTGGTTTTCTGAGAACAAAAGAAAAACTGAACAAAAAGAGTCTGTGACTTACATTGTACTTGACTCAGTATCTGTTTAAACGTCAAAAGAGGAAGAATGTTAAAATGAACTTTAAAAGATTAGACCTAATGGAACCTAAGCAAAACTAAGTTTGCTTACAGGTTCTTTTTTTCCCCCCTTCAATTTCTAACTAAAAGTACACCACACCTTCCGATCTGTGGGACACACCCACCACTTTGAGGTTCATTTATAATACAGTTATCAGTCAGCTTCTTCATGTCCCAACTTTGCAACTGGCAATGTTATTTATTCTCCACGGTTATTAATGCTGCACCCACGCAGAGCTTGAAAGAACAGGATAGACAATGGCCATAAAACCTTCTGAGATATTTTTACACTGATCCTGTTCCTTCCCTCAATAAATCACCTGCTCCCAGTGATAGTATATCTTAAACATGTAATAACATGAAGGAAAACTCAAAGGGAGGCAAGACACTTCATATTTAGTGCAATTTTGTTTGTTTGTTTGTTCAACCAAAGAAAAAGTAGAGAAATTCATCTCTGGATCGCTGGCCTGTTACAAGGTATCCTCTGAGCTTCACGATGCTGATAATTCTGATTCTGAGTGATAGTAATGGCTACTATTTTCTGAGCATTTACTATGAACCAGGTATTTAATAGATGTTACAAAGTACCTTGGTGAGGTCAGATCTGAAATTAGAGTAAGGTAGAAGGGAGAATCAGTTTTGTTGTTATAGAATTTTCATGGAACTTCTTAATTCTTACAGTATTTGGGGACACAAACAAGTACCTACCCTCTTGTGTAGTTTTGCAAAGGCCCAGAAAACCTCCAGTTGCTCTTCAGAGTCAATGGTGGGGACAGTGACCAAGGACAGGAAGGGAGACTCAGGAGAAACAACTGGCCCCTAAAGAGAAATTGCCAAGAGTGGGGAGGAATGGAGGAAGGGTGTGGACCAGCTATTGAGGGAGAGGCAGTACCGGCCTGAGACAGAGTTCGTCTCCAAGCCCTGCTGGCTTATCTGTGTCTTGCAAAGTAGAGGAGAACTTTAAAAACCACATCACAAGCAGCCCATCCACCATCACCAAAGGGGACCCTTTTCTGAAAGTGCCAGAACAAGAAGGGAGAGTCGTCTCTCTACTGACCAGGGAAGAGAGACCGTCAGAAGTCCAGACACAGAGTTCCCAGGAGGCCCGCAGTGGGGCAGGCTGGGCCAGTGGGCAGCATAGACAAGGAACACAAAGGACTGCCGAGGTGGGACTGCAGAAACCAGCGTCTCTGCTCCACAGCTCCTCAAGGTTAAGCACCTGCCTGGAACCCATTAGTTGGTGAGGTCTGAAGAACATGGGAATATGTTGGTATGTACCTCTGGAGATTCTTGGAAATGTTGGGAAGGGACCCAGTGAAAAGGAAAGGCCTTCCTATTCACAAGCAAGGGGGGAAGCAGGCACTGAGAGGCATTGTCTCGCCTCGGAATCTGACCTACTTGGTTCATTTCCATAGACTGGTTAGACCAGAACTTAGCTGTGCAGATAGGTATAAGTAGATGTATATATGGAGCGTGTTTGTGTGTGCGTCCGTGCACACACACACATGTGTATTCAAATCCTCAAAAAAACCCTGCAAAGCAGTATCTGTTTCACAGGGGACATAAGCAAATTCAGGCACATTAGGCCACTTTTCCAAGTTCACACAGCTAGTAAATATAGAGTCAGTCTTAAATCCTGGTTTGCTTGATTCCAAAACCTATACTATGTGGCTAAAAATTCTAACTCATTACTAAGAAAAATTTCAAATGAATACAAAGATGGACGGAATAATTAACCCTTGTGCACCCATCATGCAGATTCAACAGTTATCAACTTATGGCCAAGCTCATTTCATTACACTCTGTCTCACTGAACCTACCCCTGCCTTGTTTTGAAGCAAATTCCAGATATTTCATCCAGAAATATTTCAGTATGAATCTCTGGAAATAATTTATTTCCTTCTTTCCTCGCTACACCAAAATATTCCCCCAAATCTAATTCACTGGGTCAATAAAGTTGCTCTGTTTTATCCCAAAATGAGGTCCAAATTATTTTACTATGAGATGTTTCTTCTTAGACATTAATCTTGTTAGTCTTTTGTTCACTCAAAGACCCTCTTATGAATATTAATGTTTACCTTACATTGTGCCTTCTGAAAAAGATGCTAGAACATAGCTTCCTCTGTGAACATGGGGGAGGAATAAAAAATATATCTCAAGTCCATAGGAACACCAGTCCAAAAAAGGAGTCAGAAAGCAATAAGTTAACTGAGTGCTCACTCTCAATGTTTTTAAAAGATGCTGTAGTGAGTACAAAATAAATAAATAGGCATTCAACAAACATTAATGGGAAGCTACTGTGCCAAACCTATGCAGGGTGCGAGATGCACATCGGTTAATGGTCAAGTAAGGGCACTCTCTGCCAAGTCTACTGGCTGATATAGGAATAAATATAAGAAAATGAGTAACTACAGTGCAACCAGAATGCAGGTGACAAGAGTGGGAGGATAAAGAGTTACTGGGGTTTCAAAGAAGGGAATAAACTCAGTTACCTCCTGCATGGGGTAGTTGGGAAACAAGGAAACTGAGGCCTGAAAAGACGACTATTCCAGTGTCACACAGAGGCCAACCCAGGGAAAAACCTGATCTCTCGACTCCTACTCTTTAAGGGTTTCCACAGCAAAGACTGGAGATGCTTGACTGTCAACATTTTATGCTACCACAAGAAAGGTTTTAGGGAGCCGTTTTAGAAATGGACCTTGACAGCCCAATAGAATTTTGACAAATGGAGAAGCATACAGTGTTCTGAACAGAGAAAACAGCACAAACAGGTTTGTGTGATTTGTTCTGACGATACACGCTCCCTGGCTCAGCTGACGTATGGGGACAGCCATAAAGCAGGGATGGGCAACTAAAGGTAGAAACATAGGTTGCAACCAGATTATAGAATCCCAGGGTTAAGTTGTTTGTTATGAAGCTGTAAAGACTGACAAAAATCCATCCTTTAAAGCCAAGGAATTAAGAAAACACCATCATTTTTTTGGTCCACTGAGATGAACATAGATTATGTTTTTTGTAACTTGTATCTTATGTTTTATTCTAATTCCTTGTACTTATTACTAATGAGAATGCTTTAAAAAGCATTTTCTAAGTAGAGTTCTCTATTTACTCAGGAGGGGTGTGCAGTGGAAGAAAGGGTGGAAAGGGGCGCTGCTCCGGGACAAGGGTGAGGAGGGGCACGCACAGGAGCCCCACTGTGCAGATCCTTCGGAGGAGCCGAAACCTGGAACAGGGATGTTGAGAACTGGGGGTATCAGCCACAAAGCACAGCAGCCAGACTAGTTCCTGGGCACTACAGGAGAAATGGCAAAGGAGACAGCATGAAAATCTGCAAGGAACCTACTCATTTCCCCAGCAACCTGTGGCAGGAATTTGCACTGTGATCCATGCTACCTCTTACTTCTCAATGGTCTCAAGACCACAGACAAAACCTCTCAGTCACATATCTTAGTCAGAGTCAATTAGGAAGTCTTTCTAAATATATAAGGCAGCACATTTTTAGCCAAAAAGCCACTTTCAAGGCAACTATGAGAGATTGTTATGATTGAATGCCTAAACTCAGGGTACTACGAAGAGGTTGTAAACAGACCTGTCCTTTGAAGCTAGACAAACCTGAATTTGCATTCCTTACTAGTTGAACAACCTTGGATAATGTCTTTAACTCCCTCAATTTCAGTTGCGTCATTTGTCAAAAGCAGAGAATACCCACCAGTCAAGGCTGTGGACTGGATTAATAACACGGATTGTGGAAATGCTTTCCTGCGAAGTGTCCGGTACACAACTGATGTTTGTTTCTTCCCCCTTCTTAGGGAATTCAGTGTCAGATAAAAGGGAAATTACTAATAACCAAACATCCTGTAAGCTTCCAAGTTCAACTTCCTTTTTGAAAACTTTATAAGAACTGCTAAGGAAAAGCAAAATAGATTCATTTCCTTTTTCTTTCTTTTTCTTAGCTACTCACTAACACAGGTACTAATGAACAGAAAAAATGTCAGATACACTCAAAAGGAAGTGTAAGAATAACTCATACAACTCAGCAGTAAAAAGAAATATAAACCCCATTTTAAAAATGGGCAAAGGCTCTACACAGACATATCTCCAAAGAAGACATATAAGTAGACAAAAAGCATATGAAAGATGCTCAATCATTAACCACCAAGGAAATGCAGATCAGACCCACGATGAGATATGACTCTCCCTTCACCAAGACAGCTATAACCAAAAAGACAGGCAAGTACCGATGAAGACGCGGAGGCAGTGGAAGCCCCATACACTGCTGGTGGGAAAGTAAAACAGGGCAGCCGCTGTGGTTTCTCAAAACATTAAACATAGAATTACCATATGACACAGTATATAAGTCTATAGCCAAAAGGATTAAAAATATATGTTCACACAAAAACATATACATGAATGTTCACAAGCAACATTATTTACAATAGTCAAAAACTAGAAACAACTCAAATGCCCATAAACTGATGAATGGATAAACAAAATGTAGTATATCCATACAATGGAATATTATTTTGCCATTAAGAATGAAGTACTGATAACATGCTATGACATGAATGAACCTCGAAAACCTTACGCTAAGTGAAGGAGCCAGGCACAAGATGTCACATTTTATATGATTCCATTTACAAGAGATGTCTGGAATAGGCAAATCTATACAGATGGTAAATTAGTGGTTGTCTAGGGCTGGGGGTTTAGGGGAAGGGAAATAGGGAGAGACTGCTCATGGGCTTGGGTTTTCCTCTGGGGTGATCAAAATGTTCTAAAACTGACTGGGATGATGGTTGCACAACTCTGTGAATCTATTAAAAACCATTTAATTGAACAACTTAAATTAAATAATTGTTTGATGTGTGAATTACTTCTCAATAAAGGTGATGGTGAAGAAGGATGGATTTCCAGATGCTGAAGCAGAACCGTTGGCTCCACTTGACTGAGAAGATCGCAGGGCTGAGGCCCAGCCTGCAGACTGAGGAAGGTCCTCCCACCACACCTCAACGGCCCAGGGATCCAGATGCTGAAGCAGAACCGTTGGCTCCACTTGACTGAGAAGATCGCGGGGCTGAGGCCCAGCCTGCAGACTGAGGAAGGTCCTCCCACCACACCTCAACGGCCCAGGGAGTTGACCTAAGTGACTCACTTCTTGGGTAGAGAGGTAGCATTAGTACCTGACTTTGGCAATGGCTACTCTCCATGAGCATGGTCTTGCTTTGTAATCTTTGACAAACAGCCAGCCCGGACCTCAATTCTTGGAGAATCAATGGGACCTGAGACTTCTTACAGTCATTAATGAATTTAAGTCCCAAATCAGCCTGCCTCTCACACAAAAAGTTCAGCCTACTTCACTAAAATCTCCTTTTGGTTATATAACCCAGAGTTTATACTACACAAGGAGTAGGTAGAAAGCCCCCCAAACGACTGAATTTTAATTTCCTGACTTCAGAGGTAGATATTTCTCATGCATCTGAGTTATGTGGTATCAGACTCATACCTGCTGTAAGAGTATCCATAATACTTAAAAAGAGAAAGACAAAAAAAGGGAAAAAGAATACTCATAGAAGAGGAACAGGATATGGTAATAATAAAAATGAAATTGAAATCTAGTCAACACTCACTTCCATACTTAGGTCATCATTCATCCTGATGCAACTTGAAAGACCTGTCCTTGGGTCAGAGCCACCTGTGGCAGGACCTGGGCACCTGGCAGTAGAAAGTAGAGTTACTTACTACAGGTGAAAAACTACAAATTTTAGCAGTCACCAAACTATAACATAGTTCCCACTTCCCTATCCACTGTGTCAGTTTTCAGTTTTATCAAATTTCTAATTAACTTTATGACTTAAGTAAGACATAATGAAAGAGAGCTTCTACCTCTATCTATCAGAGAGAGAGGATACAAACAATGGAAATCCAGCCAAAAACGAAAATGAAGAATTTGCAACTCAAAGTCTGTTTCCTCACCCTCAAACCAGAAAGGAAATTTCATTGGGGTGGACAGTCCTCACAAACTCCACTGGCATTTCTGAGCTTTTCCTAAGATCGGTCTGTGTACTTAAAAAGGCAGGTGAGCACAAATGAGCATTGCAAGAGGATGGGATGCAGGGACAGGGATAGATTCCCAAAGGCTTGTTAGCCTTGAGTGTGGAAGTCACAGAAATACGATCAAAACGTACCTGAGTTAACTTCGCAGTATGCAGGTGTGATATGGTGGTCTCTGCCCCCAGTTCCTGAGACAGAACTCCTAAAATCCTTGTAGACAGGGGTGCTAGGAGAATATTTTCTTCTAATATTTGGTCTCGACCCTGGTTCATGATACAAAGCTCCTAAGACCTCTGTAATTTCCTGATAGGAGCATCTGGACACAGAGTTCCCAAATCCCTTGGAATTCCTGGGCATCAGGAGCATCTTTTGTTCAAAAGAGGCAACTCTTGGTGAGATCCTGGATAATCTCAAGATGGAGGGTGCTTGCCATGGGCACCAACCTTGTGATTAGAGGGTTGGAACGTTCAGCCCCACCCCCCCAAAACTTCGGGGAGGGGAGAGGGGCTGAAGGGTGAGTTGACCACCAGTGGCCAGAGACATAATCAATCATGCCTACAAAATGAAACCTCCATAAAAACCCAAAGGACAGGGTTCTGGGGTTGGTGAACAAGAATGCATCCACATGCTGGTAGGGCGGCATAACCCAACTGCACAGAGACAGAAGCTCCTGAGCTCGGGACCCTCTAAACCTCGCCTTATGTATCTCTTCATCTGGCTTTTCATCTGTATCCCTTAAAATATTCTTTGCAATAAATGCGTCAACGTAAGTAAAGGGTCTTTCTGAGTTCTATGAGCAAATTAATTGAACTCGAGGAGGGGGTCGGGGCAACACCCAATTTATAGACAGTCAGAAGTGCAGGTCATAACTTGGGACCTGCGACTGGCATCTGAAGCGGGGGCAGTCTTGTGGGACTGAGCCCTCAACCCATGGGATCTGATGCTATCTCCAGGTAGACGGAGTCAGAATCGAATTGAATTAGAGGACACCCAGCTGGTGTCTACTGTAGAATTGCTTGGTACGTGGAGAACTGCTTGGCATGTGGGTAAAAAACCCATACCTCTGGTGTCAGGAGTCTAGTGTTGAGAATACAGTAGGAAAAAACAGTTTGTTGGTGTGTTTTTCCTTTTAGATTGGAAGATTAGTCTGTGTACTTAAAAAGGAAGAGGATGGAGTGCACGGACAGGGATAGGTTCCCAAAGATTTGTTAACTTTGAGTGTGAAAAGAATAAAAATATGATAAAAACCTATCTAAGTTAACTTAGCAGTATGTAGAACATCCTCCTAAAAATTGGGAAACATCTTAGGTAGCCTAAATTGTCCTTTAAATTTTAGAATGGATATTACAAAATTCAAAAAAAAAAAAAAAGCAAGAAAACTACAACAATGTCTTTACTTTAAAATTGTAAATTTTCAAAAAGTAGAGAAGTTTTACAATAAAAGTTCACAATAAAGATGTTATGATCTTAGCATATTAAAATTTAACCAATGAAAATGCTAAGCGATGGGAATAGGACACCCATGAAGAGTAGTGTAAGTAAATTTTGCTTTTTTTTTTTAAACTTACTTGTGTCGTCTTGTCACACCCAAAGAATCATCTTTTACTTCTCCAGATTTGGGCCTTTCACACGAAGCATGGATTTGGTTGGCTACACATGAGAAAGGTGTCAGTTCCAGCCTTGGAACTGCTGTAAGACTATCCAGACACAAGGCATCTGTAGTAGAACAGAAAAGTATAAAAATACAGGAGAAGTGGCGGACTAATGGGTACAAAGCTATGCTGTCTACCCTAAGTGAATCACTGTGCAGTATATGTATGTACTGAAACAACACACTGTACCCCACAGATATGTACAAGCAAATGTTAAAATAAAAAAATAAATAAATAAAAATAGAGATTAACTTCTGGTTCAAACTATATTAAAGCTATAAACTATATTAATAAATAATTCTTCCCCTCTTGAGAGACTGGATCATTTCTATGAAAGCAAAAGTCTATCCAATTCTATCAACATTTTAGCATAAGCTCTCTTGATGCTTAGTTATATGGAGGTGGAAATGCCAAATGTTGTTTGCTTTTTTTTTTTTTTTAAAGCAGAGGGTAGGAGAGGACAGAAAACTTTTGCCCACTAAGCAACTAGAGGGCTCAATAATCTACAGCCAGTGGGCAAAATTCAAGCCAGCTACCTGTTTTTGTAAATAAAGTTTTATTGGAAAATAGCCACACCCGTGTTCACATGCTGTCCCTGGCTGCTTGTGTGCTACAACAGTAAAGTTGAGTAGTTGCAGCAGAAACCACATGGCCTGCAAAGCCTAAAATATTTACTATCTGGCCCTTTACAGAACAAGTGCACAGATTCCTGAAGAGAAAAGTGTAAGACATTGTGATTAGAACCTGTCAGAGTGACGCAGGAAATAGGTTGGGATGATAAACCATTTTTTTGGGAAACCATCTTGTTAATGTGTGTTTCTGAATATACGAAGCAGCAGAGTTTAATGGAAAAAACATAGGCTTTGGAGTCAATTGTAATTTTTTAGTACGAATCCTGACTCTGACATACCAGTTGTGCTATCTTGAATAAATAAGCCACTCTGAGCCACAGTTTACTTATATATAAAGTGATACATGACCTTGGGCAAATTCTCTGTTCAAAGTTCTCCATTTCCTCATCTTCAAAATGGAAATTATATTAGCATCTACTTCATAGGATTAAAGGAGTTAACAGATATGTTAAGAGCTCAGAACTGTGCCTGACGCATAGCACACACTCTTTAAGTGCTGTCATTGTTTCCTCATCTTCAAAATGGAAATTATATTAGCATCTACTTCATAGGATTAAAGGAGTTAATAGATATGTTAAGAGCTCAGAACTGTGCCTGACGCATAGCACACACTCTTTAAGTGCTGTCATTCGTGGTGGTGGTGCTGGCGATCACTGAGTTAATGTGAATAAAATAATCTCCATAAAGTACTACTCTATTGTCTGATACAAAATGAACACTCCATTACCAGCGGTGGCAGTTTTTCCAACTCTAGTTTAAATGATCCACAAACCAGTCCACTTCTTTTTATTCCTTCTTAAATTTATTTTGATAATCATCCCACTTCTTTTGTCACTTCAGAACCAGCCATAAGTTTTTGCTTTTAACCGTATCCATGTGTTCTGAGAGATGTCACTACATTGAGCATTTCCCAGGATAAAGCCATTTCTTCTTAGCCTGGCATTGAGGGATAGTCCACGATTTGATCCACGACCTGTTTTACCTTCTTCAAACACATTCTACTGCATTTCAACCTGAACCCTCTTGTTTCCAATGACTTGCTCAGCTTTGGCTCTTCTACAATCATCTAATTCTTACTTCTCTTTTATTCATTTATTCATTCATTCATTCATTCATTCATTCATTCATTCATTCATTTATTTATGTTTGTCCTTTTTGAGACTGGCCGCACCGCGCTCAGCCAGTGAGCGCTGTGAGTGCACCGGTCATCCCTATATAGGATCCGATAGGATCCGAACCCGCGGCGGGAGCACTGCTGCACTCCCAGCGCCACACTCTCCCGAGTGTGCCACGGGCTCGGCCCTCTTTTTATTTTTTATTTTGTTTTGCTTGCTTAAGCCATTGTCACTCATTGGAGCACTTTATTCATGCTTTTGGCTTTTCCAAACCCAACCCATCTTTCAAGGTCTGGTTCAACTATCACTTCTTCTGTGGAGTCTTCTCTGAGCCCAGAACTTTTCTCTCCATTAATCTGTGAGCTATTTTAAGGCTTATTCTTTATTACACATAATACGGTGCCTTGCACAGAGTAGTTATTCAAATATATATTGATTGACTGAATTCAGGGATAAATATCCAAGTATTCTACAATTTTTCCTATACAAATATAATTGTGATTAATTATTCTCTCTCAAAAAGAACCCTGCCCTCGGCTATGCTCGAGCAGGTGTTGGAGAGGGGCTATCCGCGCTTACCTAGCAGAGGCGTATACCAGCACGTATGTTTCAAGGTCAGGGGTGTCAGATGTATTCTTGTTTCTTGGCCACTATATGGTTTGTGGCAATGCTGCTTCTGAACAGAAAACCAGGTATTAGTTGTCTAAAGGAGTGTAACATATTTCATAATCTGTTCTCTTTATGTTCGAGGGTGAAAAGAATATCACCAGTCTCAAATGACTCTTTGAGAGAAGTCAGAAAGAAAACAAATGATATAAGGTAGCAAAGCTTTCATGCTTTTGATTAAAAGGTATATACCATATGAGAAAATTATAATTCTTATTTAAAAATCACAGTTCAATAATTTAACAGAACGCTAACATCATCAATTCCAGAGAATTGACACTCTGATATAAAGAAAGGCTTTGAGGAAAGAAGTATGGGTGAGGGGCAAGCTTCATTATATGACTCTTCAAGATACTGTAGTCAAAAAAATTTAAATATCGCTATGCCTTAGGACCAAATAGGATTGTGTGTATGTGTGTGATAAAGAAAAAAAATTGGTGTTCACTGCTTTGTCTGGTAATCTCTTGAAGAAAAGCAGTAAAGAGTTCTAAGGCTACTAATGCACAGTGGACTCAGCTTTCTATTTTGTAATAGGAATTGATTTGCAATTGCTACCTAAATAATTTCAAAAAGCTTACACTTACCAATTTTTCTTGAAGAGGTTGTTGAATTGTACCTGTGCAGGACGGGTGATCATAGTGAGGAAATTCCTCATCTAAAAAGTTCTGTCATGAGAAAACAGAGGAGTATATTCAAAGTCAGAACAATGAAAGGGTCAGAGATACAAAACACATTAAACTAATAGAAGATACGCTGCCACCAAAAAGTGGGTGAAATTGACCAGTTCTTTATCTTGTATTCTACTTTAAAGGAACACATTTGTAACTGTGTTCTCTTAAAGTTAAAAAAAACCCAAAAAACTTCTCACTGTATTTTCCCCATTACTGGATCTAGGAATGAAATCCAAAGATCAAAAACAAGAAATTGAATGGCTTTGTCATTGAAATCTTTAGGCAGAGGCCAAAGAAGCTTGCTGGAGACATAACTCAGAGTACTGAAAATGGTGTCTGTGAAAATTCTATAGCAATAAAATTGTGGCCTTAATCCAAGAAGCAGATACACATCTATCACAGTTATAATAGAAAATTTTGTCCGTGTTCTTGAGATGACTAAAGCATCTTTAGATATAGAAGTTTTTCCTAGCTCAATTTATTGCAGGGGGCTTTTTCAGCACTCTGCCTGGCTTATCCTCGACATGAACAATTTTTTTTCCTGCTTAATCAGATGTGTTTGCATTATACCCTGGAAACAGATACATGCAAATATCCCCCTTCTTTCTTTCCTCCTCCATCCCCTTCCTCCAGTGCTAACTCTGCTACTCCCTTATGTTCTTCATTTGAACAAAAGGAGACTCATCAAGCATCACAAGGGAAAGAAATACATTCAGCTCTGTCATAGATGTCTTGAGATATCCAGACAGAGAGAAGTTGAAAGTTTAATGCAAATAGGAAAAAATAGAAAACAGATCAGACCATCACAGCCTGTTCAAGAGTATTCAAAATTTCAGCATATGATTATAAATTGAAAGATGCACCCTTACTACATCAAAAAGGAGGTCCTAAGACAAAAAGCAAAAACGAAAAAAAACTAGCTCTTTGCTAATACATATAGTGGCTGGGCAAAATAAATTCTGAAATCTTCCACTTCAGAACTCATTAATGTGAATTCTCCCCTCTTGTTTTGCTAAATGCTTTCGGTGTATAAGAGAACAAAGTCCACCAAAGCATTTTCTTCTCAGCTGGTTATTTAATCGAATGATTAAAATCATTATATATTATAAATGAGCTTCAAAACTTATATGAATTGAACATCTTCCCCACAGTAAGTAAGTAAACACATTATCACGGTGGGTTTTTTTTACCTGTGACAGCAAGCCATGGAGTCCCTCTTGAATTAACTTCTTTTGAAGTAAATCAATTGTTGCTACAAAGAAAATTTATAACCAGCTCAATATGACAATTTTTAGCCCCCCTCTCCCTTAATTCATTTCACTGCTTCATAAGCTTTTGATGGCTTTAAATTGGGGGTCTGAAGGAAAAGAGAGGGGAAAACAACTTCTGATAATGGAATTCTCCACTTATGACTTGGGGAATATGGAAAAGCAAACTGAAACAGCTAAACCATTATCACCCTTGGGAAGTTAAAATGAACCTCATTAATGCAAGTGAATTGTCTTCTAAAAGTGAGTCATAGAATTACTCAATCTTAAAATAAGAATACACTTTAGGAGGTCATTTATTCTAACCTCCTACTGATATGAAAATCCTCTCTCCAAAAAATGGATTAATGGACACAAAACAGCTAGCTAGAAAAAAAAAATTCTTTTGATATACAGTCGACCTATGCACCTATAATCAACAGTAATTTACTGCATGTTATCAAATGACTAAAGAAATAGAATGACCTCAACAACAAATGATTTTGTAATGATGAATATGCTAATTTTCCTGATGCGGTTATCACACTTTGTATATAGGTATTCATATCCAACTCTGTACCCCACAAATATGCATAATCAATTATGTTTCAGAAAGAGAGAAAGAAAATCCTCTCTCCAGCAAGCCTCTGCTTGAACCCTAGAATTAGAGCCCTAGGATCCCAGAATCCTACATGTAGATCTGAGGTCACGAGAACACTGATGTCCAGAGGATCAAAATGGTCACTGGTAAGTCAGGGAGCTGAGAGTGGACTCAAGGGACAGTGCTCAATTCAGTGCACCGTTCTGTGAAATCAAAAATAATTGGCTTTTCTACTTAACTCAAATTTGCTTCCCTGTAACTTCCAAAGTCTTATTTCTGGAATAATGGAAATGAGAACAAAAAAACAGCTATTTAACTCTTTAAGTTACATTGTAACACATTACTTATTTGACAATCCAGACTTTTTGAAACATAGCCAAGAAACAGAAAAGAAGCCCAAGTCTTTTGAACAACCAAAACAGATGCTGATACCCATGCCCTTTATTCATGTGGAGAATCCCACACTTGTACTCAGATAGCGGGCTCTGAATTTATACATAATTTTCACAAGCTTGAGTGCTTTCTCAACCCACAGAAGATTAAAAGCAAAAATTAAACAAGGGTGGGGAGCTCTGCTAGATGGAAGCATATTAATAGCTACACTTATTTTTTTTATCACTAACAGTCAGGAAAATTATTAACAACAGATACTCTGGTGCCCAAAACACATTGAAATCTGGTGCTTCTTATTTTATAGACCCACATTTTTATATCTCAATAGCCTGAAAAAATTGAGTAACAAAAATTATGCTTAATATATGTAAAATAAAAGTATATAATCTAATTTTTTTGAAATTTTTCAGAAAAAAAGGCTTTATGAGCTTCAATTATGTAGAAAATTACCCATGTAAAAATTCTATTTTATAAGTTTTTAAATAAAAATAACTCATTTCTTTTTTTTTTTTTTAATTTTTATTTTGTCAATATACAATGTAGTTGGTTATTATGGCCCATCACCGAAACCTCCCTCCCAAAAATAACTCATTTCTCAACTAAGTTTGACATAGTAATACTAGGCCCAAGTAGGAGAAAAACATTCTAATCTATTGAAATAATTAAAACAATTTTTTTCTTATTAGCACTTAGAACTCTAGTAAAGATTAGATTTTTAAAAAATTCTCCATGTTAACTGTGTTAAGAACAAGGTTCTGGGCCGGCCCGGTGGTGCACTGGAGAGTGCGCCGCTTGGGAGTATGGCGGCGCTCCCGCCGAGGGTTTGGATCCCATGTGGAGACCAGTTCCCGCTCACTGGCTGAGCGTGGTGTGGGCGCAACACCGAGGGTTGCGATCCCGTTGCCGGTCCCCGGTACGGG